GACCGCGTCTTCAACATCTTCTGTCTCTACGGAAACGTGGAGAAGGTAAACGGCAGCGGGGCAGAGGGGGTGTTGGGAGCACGGGGACATCTCCAAGGGGGTCTCCTCCATTCCGCCGCTGCTCCTTCAGGTCAAGTTCATGAAGAGCAAGCCGGGGGCAGCCATGGTGGAGATGGCGGACGGCTACGCCGTGGACCGGGCCATCACCCACCTCAACAACAACTTCATGTTCGGGCAGAAACTCAACGTCTGGTAGGTGTGGGCCGGGGCGAGGGCAGCAGCGGGCGGCTCTGCCCACGGTGCTGAGCCCCTGCCCGCTCCGGCAGCGTCTCCAAGCAGCAGGCCATCATGCCCGGGCAATCCTACGGCTTGGAAGACGGTTCCTGTAGTTACAAGGACTTCAGCGGCTCCCGCAACAACCGCTTCTCCACCCCCGAGCAGGCGGCCAAGAACCGGATCCAGCACCCCAGCAACGTCCTCCACTTCTTCAACGCTCCCTTGGAGGTGACCGAGGACAACTTCTACGAGGTACGCGGGGCGCCCGCGCCCGCCCGCCGCCTCCTTCCTCCTTTTTCCTTCCTCCCTGCTTCCTTGTTCTCCCTTTTCCTTCCTCCCTGCTTCCTTGTTTTCCCTTTTCCTTCCTCCCTGCTTCCTTGTTCTCCTTTAACTTCCTCCCTGCTTCCTTGTTCTCCCTTTTCCTTCCTTCTTCTTTCCTTGTTCTCTTTTTCCTTCCTCCCTGCTTCCTTGTTCTCCCTTTTCCTTCCTCCCTGCTTCCTTGTTCTCCCTTTTCCTTCCTTCTTTTTTCCTTGTTCTCCTTTTCCTTCCTCCCTGCTTCCTTGTTCTCCTTCCTTTCTTCCTTTTTCCTTGTTCTCCTTCCTTTCTTCCTTCTTTCTTTCCTCTTTGTCCTTCTTTTTCCTTTTTCTTCCCCTTCCCCCTGCTTTCTTTTTCTCCTTCCTTTCTTCTTTTTTCCTTTCTCCTTTTTCCTTCCTCCCTGCTTCCTTGTTCTCCTTCTTTTCTTCCTTTTTCCTTGTTCTCCTTCCTTTCTTCCTTTTTCTCCTTCCTTTCTTCCTTCTTTCTTTCCTCTTTGTCCTTCTTTTTCCTTTTTCTTGCCCTTCCCCCGCTTCCTTTTTCTCCTTCCTTTCTCCTTTTTTCCTTTCCTTTCTCCTTTTTCCCTTTTCTCCCCCTTTTCCTCCTCCCTGCTTCCTTTTTCTTCTTTTTCCTTTTTCTCCTTCCTTTTTTCTTTTTTCCTTTTTCTCCTTTTTTCCTCTTTCCACTTTCTGCTTTTTCTTTTTTCTCCTCCCTGCTTTCTTTTTCTCCTTTTTTCCTCTTTCCTCTTTCTCCTTCCTTTTTTCTTCTTTCTCCTTTTTCCTTTTTCTCCCCCCTTTTCCTCCCCCATGCTTCCCTTTTCTTCACTTTTTTCTTTCTCCTTTTTTCCTCCTTCTTCTCCTTTTTCCTTTTTTTGTTTTTCTCCCCCTTTTCCTCTCTGCTTCCTTTATTTCTTTTTTCTTTCTCCCCCTTTTCCTCCCCCTGCTTCCTTTTTCTTTCTTTTTTCCTTTTTTCTCCCTTTTCCTCCTCCCTGCCTCCTTTTTCTTTCTTTCTTTTTTCCTTTTTCTCCCTTCCCCCTTCTTTTTCCTTTTTCCTCCCTTTTCTCCTTTTTCCTCCCTTTTCTCCCTCTTTTTTCCTTTTTTCTCTTTTTCTTCCCCCTTTTCTTCCCCCTGCTTCCTTTTTCTTTACTTCTTTTTTCCTTTTTCTCCCTTTTCCTCCTCCCCGCTTCCTTTTTCTTTCTTTCCTTTTTCCTTTTTCTCCCTTCCCCCCTTTTTTTCATTTTTTCTCCCTTTTCTCCCCTTTTCCCCTTTTTTCCTCCCTTTTCTCCCTCTATTTTTTCCTTTTTTCTCTTTTTCCTCCCCCTTTTCTTCCCCCTGCTTCCTTTTTCTTTACTTCTTTTTTCCTTTTCCTCCCTCTCGTCCTCCTTTTTGCTTTTTTCTCCCTTTTCTCCCCCCCTTTTTTTTCCTTCCCCCCCTTTCCCTCCTCCGCCA